CTCTTTTTGGCCGGGCTCAGTGGCTCAGCCTGTCATCCCGGCACATTGGGCGAGTGGATTGCCTGAGCCTGCAAGTTCAAGACCAGCCCCGGGCAACTTAGCGAGACCTCGTCTCTACAATAAATCAAAAAAATTAGGCGGGCGTGGTAGCGCACACCTATAGTTCTGGCTACTTGGAAGGCCGAGGCGGAAGGATTACTGGAGCCCAGCGGGTTGACGCTGGGGTGGCCGCGAGTGTGCCACTGCACTCCAGTCTGGACGACAAAGTGAGACTCCAACTCAAAAAAAAAAGGAACTCTTTTCTTCTGAAATGTACGGTAATGTGAACAGGGACTGTGCATTGCTTAGTGGGTGGAAACTTAGCAAAAGTTTATGATCCCGGATGAGGACAGGAGGCACACTGATTATTCAGTAGGAGCAGGGTGGCGAAGGGACATTAGTGTCATGCACTGTTCATTATAGAGCTGATGCAAGTGGCCTTCCCCTGCAAGACAGTAGGTAACTAGGCAGCAAAAAATCTACAGGACAAGGAACTAATTTCCCATTCAAAACACCTCTTCCACCGGGTGCAGTGACTCATACCTGTCATCCCAGCACTTTGGGAGGCTGAGGCAAGGGGATTACCTGAGCCCAGGGGTTTGAGACCAGCCTGGGCAACTTGGCGAGACCTCATCTCTACAATAAATCAAAAAATTAGCCGGGCGTGGTGGCGCGTGCCTGGGGTTCCAGCTACTTGGAAGACTGAGGCGGAAGGATCGCCTGAGCCCAGCAGGTCGACGTCCGGGTGACCGTGAGCATGCTACTGCACTCTAGCCTGGGCGACAGCGAGAATCTGACTCAAAAAAAAAAAAAAGAAAGAGAAAGAAAAATCCTCTGATGACACCGCCATCCAGCCTAAGACTCCCCCCACTCTGTTTACTCCTCCGTGAGTCCAAAAGCCAGTATTTCTGGGAAGTGAACACAGTTGTTAACAGCTGTGACACCTTCACTTAGATGCATTTCTCAGAAAGCACCGGAAGCGCAGGACCTTGAAGGACTGGGAGCCACAGGACAGGTAAGTTTAGTTCAGGAAAGAACTGGCAGAGGGTGCAGGGTGTGGCTCAGAGGGCAGGCACAAGCTGGTACCTCAGTGGGAGACAGGGCACCTGAAGACACTGGGTGCCTGGGAAGAATCGGAGGGAGTAAGAAGGGAAACAGAGGGAAAGATTGAAAGAATCATGAAGACCCGCTTCATACTCGGCCTGGAATTTACTTTGTGTGTTCTATCTAAAAAGTCCCCTATTATCATAATATCATAGTCAACACGTGCTTAGCGGACACATATGCTCAGAACACCAAGTGCAACGTATTTCAGCAAGCCTCATGGAATCCCAGACTTCAGACGATCCTCTTGTCACAGGACCCATCATATCTTCTTTGTTCAATCATGGATAATGCCACAGGTTCAGAAAAACATAAGAAACTTCCAGATAGACTGTACACCAGCTTTGTCTCCAGGAAAGCACACAAACACCCGAAAAGAATGCCAGGGTGAGGCCAGGCTCGGTGGCTGCCTGTAATCCCGCGCCTTTGGGAGGCTGAGGTGAGTGGATTGCCTGAGTTCGAGACCCACCTGGGCAACTTGGCGAGACCTCATCTCTATAACAAATCAAAAAATTAGCCGGACGTGGTAGCGCGCGCCTGTAGTTCCAGCTACTTGGAAGGCTGAGCGGAAGGATCGCAGGAGCCCAGCGGGTGGAGGCTGCGGTGGTCGGGAGCGGCCACTGCACTCCAGTCTGGGCGACAGAGTGAGACTTCAACTCAAAAAAAAAAAAAAAAAAAAAAAAAGAATGCCGGGGTGGCCTGTCCTCTCCCCACCACTTGCTGCCATTCGAGGGCCCCACTGTGTTTTCAACAGGTGTCAAATAAATATACAGGCCGGGTGCGGTGGCTCACACCTGTAATCTCAGCACTTTGGGAGATGGAGGTGGGAGGATAGCTTGAGCCCAGGAGTTCAAGACCAGCCGAGGCAATGTAGCGAGAACTCATCTTTACCAAAAAGCAAAAAATTAGCTGGGCAAGTTGGCGTGTGCCTGTTGTTCCAGCTACTTGGAAGGCTGAGGTGGAGATCACCTGAACCCAGCAGGTTGAGGCTGCAGTGGCTGTGAGCGTGCCACTGCAGTCCAGCCTGGGCGACAGACTGAGACTCTGATTCATAAAAAAAAAATAAATAAATTTCACCCGCTTCTTTATATTTTTGTTAATGTGACTGCTGGAGAATTTTCACCTGCACATGCACCCTGCGCTGCTTTCCTGCTGGAGAGGTCCGGTCTGGAATATAAACAGTGGGAACATTTGCAGAACAAGGAGAACCGGTTATTAGGAACGTATAGGGGCCTAGTGTGAGGCTTTGCCACTCGCTTCCCCAGAACTGTGGAATGTGGGAAATAAAACTGACTTCTGGGAGTTGGGGTGGGGAACAGACAGTCACCTCACGGTTCCCAGCTGAGATATGCAACAGAACCTTCAAAAGCTAGCATCGTTTTCAGTCCAACACAGTGGGAGTCTCACTCCGTCACCCAGGCTGGAGGGCAGTGGCATGCTCCTGGCCACCACAGCCTCGACCTGCTGGACTCAGGCGATCCTTCCGCCTCAGCCTGCCAAGTAGCTAGAACTACAGGCACACGCCACCATGTCCGGCTAATTTTTTGATTAACTGTAGAGATGGGGGGGGGTCTCATCAAGTTGCCTAGGCTGGTTTCGAACCCGTGGGCTCAGGTAATCCTCTCACCTCGGCCTCCCAAAGTGCTGGGATTATAGGCGTGAGCCATGGCGCCTGGCCTCAAAATGTACTGATATAGTTTTTAAAAATGCACGAGTCAGCTGGGCTTGGTGGCTCAGCCTGTACTCCCGCGCCTTTGGGAGGCTGAGGTGAGTGGATTGCCTGAGCCCGCGGGTTCGAGACCCGCCTGGGCAGCGAGACCTCATCTCTACAATAAATCAAAAAATCAGCCGGGCGTGGTAGCGCGCGCCTGTAATTCCGGCTACTCGGAAGGCTGAGGCGGAAGGATCGCCGGAGCCCAGCAGGTCGAGGCTGCGGTAGCCGGGAGCGGACACTGCAGTCCAGTCTGGGCGACAGAGTGAGACTCCAACTCAAAAAAAAAAAAAATGCACGAGTCACAGGGGGTATGGCTCTGCAGTGGAGCACAGGAGAAAAGGATGTCATTGAAGGTCTGTCCCGGAAATAGATGTCTGTCCAGGCTCTCTTACTCTGGCGTCATTAAGCAGAAGACCCCAGTGGCTGTAGTGACCATCTAATTTACTGTCCAAACCAAGCCACTTGGTTTGACAGCAAAAGGGGCATTCTTAGTCATTGTGCTTGGGTCAAGACTGTCCCACGAAATCAGGGCATCTGGTCACCCTACCTCAACTGATCCTAACTGACCACTTTCATTGCAGCTCTCTGATGATACCAGACGGGCCTGGGCTAAGCTATACATTTGTAAATGCACTAACGTTACTGAAAGCTGGAAGGCTTCCTACAATTGTCGTGGGCATTACATATTAGGCTTCATATATATTTGTTGTTGCCGTTTATAAGAGATGGGGTCTTGCTATGTTGCCCAGGCTGGTCTCAAACTCCTGCGCTTAAGTGATCCTTCTACCTTGGCCTCCCAAAGGGCTGGGATGACGGGCATGAACCACCACTCCTGGGCTTCTTTTCCATCCCAAGCCTGTTATTACTTTAATAGTACATTGTATGAACAATAGTATCTTACAGTCAAGGATGCAGAGTGATTTGGCTTCCCAAGTGGTATGACTTGAAGGAAAATGCACAGACCAGAGTGTTAGAGATGCCCTCCACCAGGCAAGTGATTTCCCAGAAGACAGCCCTCAGTGTCACCCTGGGCACCCCCATGACCCTTCCCCATTTGAAACTGAAAAATTCAGTAAGATGAGGAGTCTGGTTTAGGTCTGTTGAGATTAAAAGGTGAAGCCAGGTGCGGTGGCTCACACCTATAACCCCAGCACTTTGGGAGGCCGGGGCAAGAGGATTGCTTGAGCCCAGGAGTTCGATACCAGCCTAGGCAACAGAGTGAGACCTCGCCTTTTTAAAATCAGAAAATTAGCCAGGTGTAGTGGAGCACACCGATAGTCCCAGGCAGGAGGATCACCTGAGCCCAGGAAGTTGAGGCTGCAGTGAGCTGTGATCATGCCACTGTATTCCAGCCTGGGCAACAGAGTAAGATCCCTGGACTCAAGAAAAGAAAAAAAAAAAAAAGGCGAATGAGGTATTAAAATGGAAGTGCGTAGCCGGGCTCGGTGGCTCAGCCTGTAATCCCGCGCCTTTGGGAGGCTGAAGTGAGTGGATGGCCTGAGCCCACGGGTTCGAGAACCCCGCCTGGGCAGCAAGACCTCATCTCTACAATAAATAAAAAAATCAGCTGGGCGTGGTAGCGCATGCCTGTAATTCCGGCTACTCGGAAGGTTGAGGCGGAAGGATCGCCGGAGCCCAGCAGGCGAGGCTGCGGTGTCCGGGAGTGGCCACTGCACTCCAGTCTGGGCGACAGAGTGAGACTCCAACTCAAAAAAATAAATAAATAAAATAAAATAAAATGGAAGTGCGGCTGGAAGTCAAATTTGGATGAGATTTGTATGGGCCACCAACAATTAAAAGAAGAAATGACATGGGTTGTGTCCAGAATAGCTACAGGTCAGATAAACAACTGGAAGTGCAATTAACAGAGAAGTTGCAGGAGTGTAAAGCGGTTTCACCATAAGTGCCAAAAGGGATAGACTAGTGATGGCTGGGTGCTTGCAGCATTTTTGGAACAAGGCAGTCACTGGAAAAAGTGGTTAGTCACATCTGACGTTGGCTCAGAAGGCAGCGGGGACACAGAATTAAAGCATAGTTATATTAGAAGTATTATAATGTGTCATCAAAGGTGTGTTTCTTCAACAGCATAAATGATACTAAGACAGTAATACATAAATGGGAAAAACAGTCGAGAGCAACTTACTTATTTTGTCCAATTGTCTCAAAATCTTTCACCACAATCCCAAGGGAAGATGAGAAGTCCAGCGGTATACCCCTCAGGTCAAACTCCAAAATCTGTGGACATGAAGGTTATGGAAACGAGAAGTCTGTTAAATGGGCAGGAATATAACAAATCACACCAGCACCGCACGTCAGCTCGTTCATTATTTTCACCAGTGACAACCTTTGGATGTTTGTGGTCAGAAATGGTTACATTCAGTTGGGTGCGGAGGTTCAGCCTATAATCCCAGCACTTTGGGAGCCCCAGGCAAGAGGATTGCCTGAACTGGGGAGTTTGAGACCAGCCTGGGCAACTTGTTGAGACCTCGTCTCTACTGTAAATCAAAAAATCAGCCGGGCATGGTACACGTGCCTGTAGTTCCAGCTACTTGGAAGGCTGAGGCGGAAGGATCGCCGGAGCCCAGCAGGTTGGAGATGGGGTGGCCGTGAGCATGCCACTCACTCCAGCCTGGGCGATGGAGTGAGACTCTGACTCAAAAAAAGAAAAAGAAAAAGAAAAATACAATAGGGCTGACCATCAACTTAAAAAAAAAATCAGTCAGAGTTTCATGCACGATTGGGTGGTTGTTACAACAACAACAGCCAAAAAAAAAGCAATCAGAGTAGGAAAATCCTACTCAGTGAGAAGAATTAAATGTCTTACGTAGCCATGAAGATATTAAACACCAAACTACTTATAAAATAAAGTTGGCAGGCACAGTGGTTCATGCCCGTAATCCCAGTGCTTTGGGAGGCCGAGATTGCTTGAGCCCAGGAGTTTGAGACCAACCTGGACAACGTAGCGAAACCTCATTTCTACAAAACATCAAAAAATTAGGTGGGCATGGTGGCACGCGCCTATAGTCCTAGCTACTCAGGAGGCTGAGATGGGAGAATCACTTGAGCCCAGAAAGTCGAGGCTGTGGTGAGCCACAATTGTGCCACTGCACTTCAGCCTGGGGGACAAAAAGAGACCATGACTCAAATAAAAAAAAAAAGAAAAAGAAAAAGAAAAAGATTTAAAGTCAACAGTGTGGGGAGGTAATTATATTACATCCCTTTGATAGAATATCACACAATCATTAATAACGCTTTTGAACTGAATGATATGGGTATATGTTCAGGATATAACAGTAAGAAAAAGTAAGCTGGGTGCGGTGGCTTACACCTGTCATCCTGGCACTTTGGGAGGCTGAGGGGAGACGATTGCCTGAGCGCAGGGGTTCAAGACCAGCCTGGGCAACTTGGTGAGAACTTGTCTCTACAATAAATCAAAAAATAAACTGGGCGTGGTAGCACACGCCTGTGGTTCCAGCTACTTGGAAGGCTGAGGTGGAAAGATCGCCTGAGCCCAGCAGGTCAAGGCTGTAGTGGCCGTGAGCATGCCACTGCATTCCAGCCTGGGCGGCAGAGTGAGACTCCGACTCAAAAACAAAAGAAAAAGAAAAAGTAGGAGAAGACGTTGTATTTGGTAGTCCGTCATATTTTATTAAATATACTTACTCAATGAACATGCATTGCAGATGTGAATTTCTGATGCATTACAGATGTGAATAGTACTTGCTTCTAGAGAATGGGGCCAAAGTTAATGTGTTGATGCATTTCTGTGTTAAGTATCCTGGACATTGTGTCTATCAACAACAACAACAACAAAAACCAATCCGTGCCATTTCCCAGCCACAGAGCATCACGTAAGACACTCTTTTTTTTTTTTGAGTTAGAGTCTCACTCTGTCGCCCAGGCTGGAGTGCAGTGGCCGCTCCCGGCCACCGCAGCCTCGACCTGCTGGGCTCCAGCACTCCTTCTGCCTCAGCCTTCCAAGTAGCTGGAACTACAGGCGTACGCCACCATGCCCGGCTAATTTTTGATTTATTGTAGAGCTGAGGTGTCACCAAGTTGCCCAGGCGGTTCTCGAACCCGCGGGCTCAGGCAATCCACTCACCTCAGCCTCCCAAAGCGCTGGAATTATAGACAGAGGCACTGAGCCCGGCTGAGACACTCTTAACTAGTCACATGCAGACATGTTTTTCATTGCCAAGTTTTCCTTCCAAGTTCCGGAGATGATCGCACCCTCTTCTTGCTTACAGCTGTGCCCCAGCTACGCTACATACGAGGACCAAGGTCACACAGCAAGCTCCTGGCCGTGCCAGGCGAGAGCTCATCCCTCCACCCCCGCCCCCCAGGCTTCCCTCCCGCACCACGCCAGTGCAGGAGATGGCCACCGACGGTCACTCTCCAGGCACTGCTCTGCTCCCTTGGGGAACATTAAGGGAGACGGGGGTGGGAGGGGAATGTAGAGATTCTCCTTCCAAAGGGAAGAGCTAACCTCTATCCCCAAGATGGGACCCTCTGATATAGCTTATCCACTGAGACAAAGGCGTAGAAACATGAAGTCACCTCATTCCAGACAGGGTGGAGCTCGTTATCCACTTTCTTTGTTTTCTTTTTCTCATCTGCAAAATAATAATAATAATAGGATAAAATAAGAGAGGGCAATCCATGAGAAATTATGAAAGCGCACGTGCCAGTCACTTACCCATTCAAACAGCATGGCCCAAAGGCCTACGATGAGCTCACACTTTCCGTTCTTCCTTCCGCCTAGGCTAGGGACTGTCTGAATAGAAACTTCCCACAACGGAGTGTCCCAGAGCATTGTCCTGTCCCAGGTCTACAAGGAGTTAAGGGGTGAGGGACTCAAAGCCAGGGAAATGCTGTGATGCTCCGCCCCTCTCTCCCCAGGGCCACCTGGGGTCTTTGTGTCCTCTCTTGCTGCAGAAGGAAGCCAACGAAGCTGACCTTTGGGGGGCTGGCAGTGTCATTTTACAGATGGGGATACTGAGGCTCAAAGAGTTGCGAAATGTGTCTGAGCTCACCCTGGCAGCCGTGCCTTGATTCAGACCTGGGATTTCAGCTCTGAAGCCGATGCTGCCTCTGACTGTGATAAGACCCAACCCGGGAGGAAAGATGCCGCTGGGCCAGGAACGGTGGCTCACTCCTGTAATACCAGCACTTTGGGAGGCCAAGGTGAGAGGATTGCCTGAGCTCAGGGGTTCGAGACCAGCCTGGGCAACATGGTGAGACTTCGTCTCTACAATAAATCAAAAAATAAGTGGGGTGTGGTAGAGCGCACCTGTAGTTCCAGTTACTTGGAAGGCTGAGGTGGAAGGATCGTCTGAACCGAGCAGGTCGAGGCTGTGGTGGCCGTGTGCGTGCCACTGCACTCCAGCCTGGGCGACAGAGTGAGACTCCGACTCAATAAATAAATAAATAAATAAATAAATAAATAAAGGATGCGGCTGGGCTCCCTGCCACAGGCCTCAGTACAAGGTACTTGTACACCAGCAGCACTTTCCAGGACCAGCGGGGAATTCAGGGGTTCCTTTACTACAGGGGCCACCTTCCCTGAAAACACGGGTCTGTCTTCTCTGGGTCTGACCCTCTGGACAGTGCACTTGCCTCGATATGTACACAAGTAAATCCAGACAATACTTCAAGTTCTCAGAGCAAAGTTCAAAGGGCAGAAGCTTCTTTTGGTCCCAAAGTTCCCAAACACCCAAAGAAAAGCTCATCTTTGAATACAAAATGCTTTGTAAGCATTATCTAATCTCCTTAAAAACCCTGGAAGGTATATATTACTATTTTCTTTTTCTTTTTTTTGAGTTAGAGTCTCACTCTGTCACCCAGGCTGGAGTGCAGTGGCATGCTCATGGCCACCACAGCCTCGACCTGCTG